TGAAAAGTTTTCTTTCTCTATTTAGTCTTTCTATTTTCTCTAAAGCTCTCTCTTCTCTATTTTTTTTGTTTTTTGCTCTCCCCCTTCTCTCTGTTTGCTATCCCTCTTCTTCCTTCCATTACCTCTCTTTTCATATCTTTGTGTGTTTATTTTTTACACCTGATTCACAACCCTTTTTTTTTTGTTCATACACGTTATTCCTATTTTGTGTAATTTCAACTCTGGTTGAATGTTTGCAGGCAGCGGGAGCTTGCTTGTTCCTCCTTTCATGGAGCCTACTTTTCTTTTTTATTATTTAAATGAAATAAGGAGAAAAAAAATATGTAATCACAACCTTCATTTGGTACATTCTTCCATTGTCATTGCATTTTAAAGACTTTTAACGTAAAAGCTTTTTTATGTGACTTATAAGGTCATCATTAAAGTCTTTATATTAATCGTCTTATACCTTTCCTAGATGAATTGATATGTCTACTTCATAGTAGTTTCATCTCAAGAAGAGGAATGACAAAGAATGTTTTGATTGCCTAAAAAATCTTGAACTTCATGCATAAAAGTAAAGTAAAAAACTGGAATAGTGGCCATGAAGATTGATAAATCCACATTTTACTATATTTTTAGCCTAATTTTTGTTAGTAAATAAGGAGTTAAATAGTAAATAAACTTGAAAATATCATAAAAATTGCATTAATATTCATAATTGTATAAATAGTTTAGAATTTTAGATTTTATTCCAATTCTGAACAATTTTGCTTAAAAAGACTTAATTTTGGGCAGAAGCTTGAGCTGAAGATGTTTGAGTTGAAGATTGAAGTGAAGAAAGTAGAGAAATTGAGCTTAAAAGATGAAGAATCAAGTGTTATGTGTTGGGTGTAGTCACTTTGAGTGCATAGAGTTAACACTTTGAAGAAGAAAATTCATAAAGATCAAGAGAGTAGCTACTTCAAGTGCCTAGAGTAGCTACGCAGTGTGCGTAGCCACTTCAAGTGTTCAGAGTAGGTACGCCCAAGACTAATTTAGAACTATACAGTGCGCATAGCTACTTCAAGTGATCAGAGTAGTTAAGTAATTGAGCGCGTAGCTACTTCAAGTACCCAGAGTAGCTACGCAGTCAACGCGTAGCCACTCTAAGTGTTGAGAGTAGCTACGCAAAGCTACGCGTAAACACTCTAAGTGCTGAAAGTGTCTACGCAAAAGTAACAGAATTTTAAATATCACTTCTAAGTGTCAACTTTGAACGATTTAAGTTTCTAATTCAGTTATAGAAGCTTCTAGAAGACCTTTCATGCTATAATCCTCAGAGATTAAAGTGTGGAAGTGGAAAAGGCGGGAAAACATTATAAATAGAAGTTAAGAGTTTAGAATTGGAAGTCTTTTGCCATTTTTTGTTTTCTTTTCATTTTTACACCTTAGGAGAGTTAGAGAGGGAGATTGGGGGCGACTTCCAAGCTCTGGACCTTGAGGAATCAAGCTGGGGATTGGATTTATGAAGAAATTATGTAGCTCCTCTTCTTCTACTTTTCTCTCTCTTTTTCTTTTATGAACATATTTTGATTTCTTTTTGTTAGGGATCCATGGATCCAGATTGATATTGTGACGTAATTTTGGATCTGGACCTTGAGGTTTTGATTGAATTGGGTATGTGATTATGTTCTTAATGCAGTTGTGAACTAATCCTTCATTCAATTGAATTTAGAGGAATCTTCATTAATGAAAATTGAGTTTATTTCTCATATCTGAATCATATGCCTAGGTTATTGTGATATTAGGAATAAGTATCATAATCTAGTAATCCTATAATTTCTAGAACTTAATGCAATATTTGGTTGAATTTCACCTAAAGAATTAAGGAGGTTTAATTAGATATTAGGATCAATGAGGCAATGAATTGTCCTTTGGTTAAAGAAGTGAAATTTATTATCAATCAATTAGAATTCTTAAGAGTCCAGAACATTATTACATTGTAATATAAAATCTGGTGAAGTGATTCCTAACTATTTTTCACATAGCATTTTAATACAAAATTCGTATTCTAGTTTGCTGTATTTTTCATATTTCTGCATTTTATTGTTTTTGTTTGTTAAATGATTCAAAACACTTCAAATTCGTTTGGCTCAACTAGTTATTGATTTGTAAAGTGGTAATTGATAGACCTAATCCCTGAGGACAATACTTGGGACTCATTGATTTTCAAATTTTATCACTTGTTACAACTATCTAGTACACTTGTTAGTTAGTTCTCCAATTTTTGTGGCAAAGATTGATCTCAAGAATGGCTATGAAAATATTGGTTGGAATTTTTTCCAACAAACTCTTGTTAACTTTGAAATAATAGGTCACATTAGTTTTCTTATCATGTAATGTGTGCACACCTCTTTCTTATCAATTACATGGAATGGTGTTCAACTCAAAGGCTTTGAACCAACAAGGGATCTTAGACAAGGGATTTTTCTTTCACCTTACCTTTTTATTCTTTGCATGGAGAAACTTTTTTTATTGATAAATCAAAAAAGTGAATGAGAAGCTATGGAAGCATATTCATTTATCTAGAAAAGGTCCTAATATCACTCATATCTTATTTGCTAACAATGTCTTTCTTTTTAGTAAAACTGAAAACACACGGGTCCAAAATGTTATCATAGTGATATGAGATTTTTTTTATGCCTCCAGCCTTAAGATCAACTTTAATAGATCAAAGGCAATATGTTCAAAAGAAGTCCCTCACCAAAAAGCATAGTACTTTTTATGGCCTCACTTCCATTCATTTTCTTTCCATTCTAGAAACATAACTTAGCTTTCCATTGACAAAAGTAGACTGAATATAACAACTTTTGCTGCTTTACATGAGAAATTCCACAAAAAAGTGATAGCTTGGAAAGAGAAACTACTTAACAAAGTTGATAATCTTGTTTGGCAAAATTTGTCTTAGCTTTTATTCCTATTAATTTCATGTAAATTTGGTGGCTATTAATTTCAGACTGTGACATTGACCTGTTTGGCTAAGACAAAATTATCTATCCTAAGAAACAAGGTGATTTGGTTGTTCATCTCTTATAGGTAAATAAGTGGGTGATATTTATAGGATAAACTTAAATTATAAGTTCAAATCATGAAGGCTAAATATATAAAAGGCAATTCACCATGGGCTATTAAACCAAACCCAAAAGACTCTAATATTTGAAAAAACGTCTTGAAGATTTGTAGCATTTTGAAAAATGGTTTTAAGTTCTAAGTGAATTTTAGTTCTTCTTTAGTATGATATTCTAATTTGATTGGACTTGGTCCAATTGCTAACTTAGTGATTTTGTTCACATCTCAAATAGAAACCTCCAAGCTAGTTAGTTGTTTGTTCATAGTACTTGGAAATTGGACTGGCTTGCCACAAGTATCCTACAACACATCAAAGCCCATATACACCAGCTTTCTAAGCCAACAGATAGAAATATTGAAAACTTGTGGTTTTGGAGAGGTACAAAAATGATTTATTTCTCAAAGACAGCTTATGTTTGGCTCAATGATTTGAAATCCAACTATTTATCAATTTCAAATATTGATCGAGTCTGGAAGTTGTCAGTGATAGAGAAAGTTAGATTTTTTATTTGGGTTATGTGTCATGAATCTTTGTCCACAAATGCTTTGCATCATCATCATGAGTTTACTTTCTTAAGCTCTTACTCTAGGCATTTTCATGATTTTGAAAATATTAACCATTTTCTCAGAAATTGTACATCCTTATTCTAAAGAATTTTATTTTGCTTGACGATATCATTTCTCCATTATAATTTTGAAGACCTTACTACCCGTTGGATTACTACCTTACCTTGACACGGAGAATGTATTTTCTATTTATCCATTCTTTGGTGGCTTTAGCATTGGAGGAATAATATGATCTTTGATGAGGGGTAACGGAGTATCTATTATATTTTAGATTTTATTAGTTAATTTAAGAAAAATTGTTCTTTACTAATTCCAACAAGTTAGTCTTCAAACTCATCTTTTTTTCGGGAGATGTCATGGCATTTACCATCTTTTGTGTACTATAAAATTAATGTGGATGGTAGTTGTAGGATAGATCATATAAGTTGTGGTGGTATTACACCAAACTATAGTAATAAATAGCTAATGAGGTTTACTTCTTTTGAGGATAATGAATATGCTCATTGTGTTGAATTGAAAGCAATCATTTGAGGTCTTCACTTGGTCATATTGAAAAGTTATCATTAGTTAATTTTGGAATCTAATTATGTAGAAGTGATAAACCTTATTATAAAAAAATAAAAATTGATTTTTTTTTAGATGTGTTATCTTCTAGAGGATGTTCATTATTTCATGCAAAATTTCTCTCGTACACTTATATGTCATGTCATTTGCGTGGTTAGCTCTATCAAACTAACATACTCTTGTTGATGACTTAACTTATAATAATAATAATAATATTTTCTTTACAAATTAAAAATATATTTTTATAATTAGTAAAAAAAAATTATAAAACATGTTCTGTCTAAATTTAAAAATTGATCCTTCTTAAAAATATAAAAATAGAAGTGTCCTTTATTTATTTTATTTGTTTATTGTGAGAGTTAAGTGTATAAATTAGTGAAGTAATATTGTGAAGTATTTGAATGTATTTAGGATTTGAATTTTGAATGAAGTTATCAACTCATTTATATTCTATATTGAACCACGTCAGTACTTATTTTTTTACTAATTATTTGCGCAACTTATTATAGCACAAACCCGATTACGCATAGATAACATGCATAAGGAGAAAGGAAAAACGAAAATATAGGGATTGAAAATGACCAGTATAAAAGAAAAAAAATGCTACAACACAAATGATATATGTCTAAAAACTAATTTTTTTTTTTAATTTCATAGAATTTAATTCTTGAAAACGAAGTTGACAGATACTATATAAAATTAAAAGGAATACAAAACTTTAATATGCATTTGAATATGAACTATTTTTACTCCACGTTCAAGATGTTGAACATCATTCACTAAAATGTCTTGGGTTTTATTGAAACTTTTGTTGCTCCAAGTTGTTCTGTAGATGCATCTCCCGAGTTCATCGTAGGTAAGATGCCCGTTTGAGTACCATCACTATCGTTTTCAATTTCTCCTTCAAGATTTAATCCTTCAATCTTTGCGTTTATAATCCCTACATCTATTCCGGACAAACAAAATATAATGAATACAAATTAAGAGAAGAACAATGAAAAACTAGTGAGTGTGTGTGTGTGTGTGTGTATTACAATAAAACTTAAGGAGTCAAAGACTTAATGTTAATCCCATCCCAACACATAACTTACACGATACTGTGAAAAGGACTTGTATGAAAATTAAACTCAATGTAAAGGGCATTCACTATATTCAAGATAAAGATAATAGACATATATCCTAGGGAAAAAATGGCAGGGAAGATTCCATTATGCAATGTTTATATTATCTAAAAATATGTTGTTTTTCTATTGATTTTTAGTAAATTGAAATCATTTTTTTTATCAAGAAGAAAAAAGCATCTATTCAATCATAAACATCATAAAAACTGTACTATGAAAGAAATAAACCCCCTATATAGATATAGATACATGTTATTTTAATTAACTTGATTCACCTGGATTTGAAAAGAACCAAAGAATGATGGCACAACCAAATATCACAAAAGGGATAACATGCACTGCATTTTCAGCAAACCTAACTCGTGCAAGCTCTTTCTTTGCCAACTCTGCCACGGGATCATATGTTGGTAGGGTGTTGGCATCATAGGTGGAGGATGATCTATGCCCTTGAGGTGGAGAACTAGTCACACTCTTGAAGTAGTCATCAGAGAATCTATTCAAACTCGCAGACCTGTGCATTTTGATTTTGGCTATTTTGAAAGAGAGAAAAAATGGTTGCTTGGGAGAGAAAATGCTAGAGCATCACAACAAAATAAGTGTCATAAAAAGTTTGTAACAACTACTTCTATTCTTCCTCAAAATGGAACCTCTTTCATTGATTTCGGCAATCTTTACTGCCCCTTAAACACATCCTCTTACCAATTCAACCCAATCACTCTTTGCTCCTGCTTTAACAAATGCCAATTTGACTCGTATTATTTTTCATATTTTTCTCACAAATGCTTGAATAAATTGAGGAAAAAGAAGCTTCAACTGAAGATTAAATTAATTAAGATAGAGATAAGAAAAAACTTATAATTGGTATTTGATATTCGATAATTCAGACAACAAATTCAGTAAATGATCAATTAATTTACGCGGCATGGGTTCTTTATTAGTTAAGATCCATTGGGATCTTCATTGTATAGCTTATACTAATTTCAGTTAAAAATTAGAAGTATAACATGTTATCTAAAAAGATTAATACATTGCCAAAGTATTCCTTTCTTTTTTTTTTCAAAAATGTGTTTATCTTTTAATTTAATCCTTTAATCCTTTTTTTTCTCAAATTCATCTTCTAGTTTTTTTATACGAAATTTTCCTTGTCCTTCACGTCATCTTAACATCTTAACATTATTATTTCATTAAGATAACATAATTAATGGTGCTGGTCACACAAGGACACATATATGAGCCATTATTAACACTATTAAAATTACATTACAAATCAAAATAATTTTCGTTACAAAAACAAATTAAAACGAAATAATTAAAGGGTGACATTAAAAATAAAATAAAATTAGAGGATGAAAATAGGTTTACTATCATACTTACAAGTTAAGATGATTACATAAGGCTAAATTAATTTGTTAGTCCTGTAGTTTTATATATTTTAATTAAGTCCTCACAACTTAAAAAATGTTAGTTAAATTCTTATAATTGTAAAATTTACTCGTTAAATCATTAACAATTAATATTGTTAGAACTCTATTAAATATGAGCACGTAACATGACATTTTTAATTTGAGAATCTACCTTTTGAATTTTAATAATTTCTCTTTTTTATTACCTCTTTCTTAAGTTTATTTTAATCTAAATCTTTAAACTTTACTGTTAATGAGTGATATATTTAATATGTAAATTATTTCATATTAATTATTTATTATTTTTGTATAATAAAATATAGGTGCTTATCATGATACTCTGAACTTGAGAAAGTATGGTATATTTTTTTAAAATTGAAGATTTATATTTATGTTTATTTTAAATAAACTACTAAATTTATTATTTATTGATATAAAATTAATAGTTATAACTATTGTACGTGCAATATAATAAAGCATAAAATATTCTCAATATTTTCCTCGTCACTATAAAATATATATTGTAATATTATATTCTTTAGGAGATGTTTGATATTCAAAATTTTTTTAAATGAAATTCCTAAGAACGTGTTTTCTAAAAATATGTTTCTTGATAATTTATTATCCATATTTGTTTATTAGGTAATTTTTTTGAGAATCTTTTTATTTTTTTCTCATTATCATGTTTGGTATTAAAAAAACTTATATAAAAATATTATTACTTTTACTTCACTTAAATATAAGTCATATAGAGCTTTACAAATAATGGCAACAAGTAAATTAACAAAAAAAAGTAAATAAAAGATACTTACCAAAAAATAGGAGGAGTGACTAAAAAAGAAAGAGCGTAAGAAAGACAAGTAAAGTAGAGTAAAAAATGATTTGAAATTGATAAAGTAAAGTAGAATAAAAAGAATATTTTTATTTAAAAATTTTAGATTTTTTATAAAGTTAAGGATACTCGTCTATTAAGATAAAAAATAAAAATTCTAATGTTTTTATAGTTTAAATTTCTCAAATCTCACATTTTTTGAGAATATTATTTTGTTTTTTATACTAAACGTAGGTCAGAAAAAAATTTAAATAACACTCCTAGAAAAATTAAAAGAGTTCGGATACCAAACATCCTCTCAGTGATAAACGTAGAGAGTCAAAGAACTTGAAAATATATATGCACAAATCAGAATGGAAGGGAGTTAAAAGTCTATTTCATTGACTTCTTGGACCGCTTATAGACTTTTTTAACATGCTGTGAAGTGTACATTAAAAACTTTTTGTTTAATAATTTTGTATTACAAATTATAGAATATTATAAAATATAACACATTGATAAAATTAAATACTATAATTTCACAGTTATTCGTTTAACTTTACAGTTCATAAAAATGTTTGTTATTTTTTAATATATTTTTATTGCTACGTAATTTTTTTCACTCTTTTCTTCCCTTTCTAATTTACTCGTTGTTATTGTTAATATATTATAAACACATTATACATCCAAAAGCTATAAAATTTGGACCGATTGCTCTCTCGATCGGGGTACCGAGTTATTGGGTCTTCAGCTCAATTGGTGAGCGATGCTTTTCTTCATTAACCCTACAACGGGATTTGTTTCTATTCAGGCAAACTGAGTACGAAAGCGAATGCTTTCAATCAAAATTTCCAAATGACCCACAAAAAAAAATCACAATTTCCATCTTTTGCAGTCGTTGTTGTACTCTATTATTACCCTCATTTTTCGTCTTCTCACATCGTTTCGTCTTCTGTCCATGACTGACTGTTCTAATTTGCAACCCCTCTCAGTTGTTGTATGCATATGCTGGAGCAACGACAGATTCTCCTATAACCTCTATTTTATGTACAACGTTAACCAATATGCAATTTTGCATGACTCCCGGTTCATAGAGACTGTCGTCGATTCACCAAATTTTGAAAAATAGACTAATCACTTTAAATGGATTTGATTGCGTTTTCAAATTGCTATCACTCAAATTAGTTAGATAGCCAATTTACCGATCTACTGACCCATGCTATGTTTGTGAAGACTGAAGCATACTAGTACTTCAAACTCATTATTCCCTTTCCAATGGTTTGGTCGACTTGCAATTGACATTGCTTTTAATCTAGGTGCATCCATAACGCACGTAATTAAGTGTTGCGTTGAGACTAGGATACAATCATTGAAGAACTTTATACGTTAAACATGCTGAGAAGAATTTATGATACATTCTACAATTAGTGAAGCAACCAACTAATGTAAAACACTTTAGAACATTGACACAAACCTTATGACAGCACTAAATGATGCATTCATATTACTGACTTATGAATATCTCTGTTTATCTTTTAGGATTAATAAATATTACTATATTTTATTTTCGAAGTTAGCACAGCCTTGCCTGTGCTCCCCAAACCATTACTATAACGAGGATTGAGCATAGACGGGAGAACAGTCAAGCAGTTAGAATAAACATTACAATATATTAACATGGACATATTTTACACATAAAACGCTTCATCTCACATACTACAGATGGCTTTTCATTCCTATGGCCACTACAAAATCACTTATTTGCAAATTGTAGTGCTACAGTGGCCACACAATTCAAGAAGCATGGTAGAACATGTAGAATGACTTCAGTGGAAGTCAGGCAAACAGCAGTACAACTGTCAGGTATAAGACTTTAAATGTCAAGGTTCAGCAACTTTGCTAATGATCACAGAGGCATACTTGGCAATGGATGATTCTGGAGACTGCTGAAGCCTTGCAATCACAGGGAACAAAGGTGATGAACGGATGAACTGTCTGCAGAGTGGATGAGCACACATCTTTGCTAGGGAGAAGAGAGCTATTTTTAAAGGAGATTCGCTTGCTGAATCATTTCTGCTGGGATTTAGTGCTGATACCGCAAAATCAGATATTAATTTAAGCAGAGACTGCAAGGATAAAAGGCCATCCAAAGACATAAACAAAATTAGTTACAATCATAGCTAGCAGTTGTAGTATAATCATAAGGCCATTCAAGTTTTTATTGTAATCAGTTTAAATTCTGAAAGAAACTAGAATAATTTACACAATCTATTTATAACATGTTGTTTCTGAAGTAATTATCAGGTTGCCATTGCAATGCTTTAGTTGGCATTGCTTTCACCAAATCAATATTGTTGCTAGTTGTCAACTTCGATTTTCATTCAAACAATTTCATTCTCTCATCCACCACCTTTGTATTCACCTTTGTATTTGCAACCTCATCACTTTCTATTTGAAACAAAGCCCCACCACTTTTGTTTCTATTACCCATTACTTTCTTTTTATTTGAAACAACATAATGTTAAGAAAAAATTCTTTTTTAACAAAATTTTGTTATGTTGTTAAAATAACAAGAAGCATTTTCTTAAAAAGAAAACCTACTACTTTTTAATAAAAACAGTTTTGAGGTTAGGGATTCAACAGTGAAGAGTTTGAACAGGTACAACTCACGGTGTTGAGAGGTTATTGACTTCAACTAATTTTGGGTAACAAGTAAAAGCATGAATGGGACTAGGATGAACAAAGAGGTGGAAAAGTTGGCCATTGGAGGTCAAAAGTCGAACAAGAAACACTACAGCAAAGTAATGCCCATTGGAGATCAAAGGATGGCAGCACACGGGGAGAAAGATCTAGGTTAAGTGAAAAGGGGGCAAAAGATCTAAGGAAAGAATGGAATGCATTGATGGAATTGGCTTTAGCTAATATCTTGCTTTTACATATGATTCGAGTTATTTGGTTCTCAAATTTTTGAATTCGATACTCGAACCAAATATGATTGGACTTTTCCTTTTAGATTTAAAAATAATTTGATTATCCAATCCAACTTGTTAAGTTGTTATTAATTCGGATTGAATTGATTAAATTCGTAAGTAGACTCAGACTTAATTACACCCTAAATTTTAAGTAAAACGACAACGTTTTCTACTAAAAAAGTTATTTCAAATACAAACCCTATACTCCTAAATGTTCTTAGCTTCTCCTTCATTGACTCCTACCTTGGTTATATTATCACACTTTAAACCACCCATTCAATATTTTTCGAACTTTATTTCTTTCTAATTTTTAACCTTGCACTCTTAATATTTTTTCAGTTATTTGATTAATCATTCCGTTACTCTGGTTTGTTAGTAATTGCTTTTCTTTATTAGTAGCAATATACTAACTTACACGAGGTTTAATTTTTGTAATTAATTGCAAGGACTTGAATTAATTCTAAAACTAATAAATTCATGGAATCCAACAATTCAATATGAGTTATATGTTAAATTTACACAACCTAATAATTCACAGTAAGTTCATAACAGGAATATTAATAATCAATACTTTTCATTAAAGTCTAAGCAATATTATTAAATATATTTATTTTGATATAATAAGTATATAATCTTTTGATATTTGCTACCATTTGTAACACGTTACTATAGTAATGTACTGTGTTTTTCTTTCAAAATCCAAAACCTTAAACATTATTGTTTTCCTATCCTTACAATGTCAAATAATACTCTAGTATAATAATAATATTATTATTATAAGAAAATTTTCATTAAACTTTTGATTAGTTAAAAGTATAAAATTATTTTAAAGATTAATAATAAGATGTTCGGGACTATCTAAGATTTTGTTTTATATTTTATGTCTTCTATGCCTAATGTAACAGTAGTAAATGACTTACTACGTATTTAAAAAATGACTTTTACAAGTTTGTGACACTCGTACCTATGGATCCATATCTAATTACAAAGTAGATTTTGTGACATTGTCCTATGCAGGTTGAAAACAGTTCACTCTTCACTTAGTTGTAAAATAGATATAATACCGTGAGCTTGACTTTGTAAAGAGAAACTTTCACAATATTTAAAAAAATGCACCATGCACTTACCTGAACCGCTCCTTTGGACACAATGTCTTCACAAAGTTTGTCAGAGTTGCGAACCAGATTGCTAAGTGCACCTGCTGCATTTGCCTTGGTCTTATCCTCCTCTGCCATTTGCAACAAATTTGCCAGGTGAGGAATCGATCTCCTCAGCTCTTCATACAACACATCATTGTGGTAGGCCGCATTTCCAATCTGAGTTCGGGTTTGGGACAGCAGATTAAAAAGAGATGTGAAAAACGCAGAAAAATGCAGCATATATACCGTATGAAAAAGCATACGCATGATGACATCAGTTCTAAAAACAGGAAGGACAAATTTGTGCCATATATATCCTTGTAAATTGACAAATTACGACAAAACAGTTAAATAAAATGCAGTGAAACAACTTAAATAAAAATAATTTATCGCAAATTTCTCATTTACCAAATACAGAAATTATAATAACTAGTGGACTGCATTGTATATTTTTAACGCAATTGCATTAATATGTATAGGTATCATTATATCATATACCACAACAATCTTCTAACGCGGAAAAAAACACCGCAACAAGAAATAAATGCGAATAAGAAGAACATCAAGTTTAGGCTTTGATAGTGGGATGAATAAAACTTACAGCAAAACAAGCAAATTTCCGAGTTCGTTTGTCTGGATCTGAACATCGGTCGATAAGGATACTAATAATTTGATGTCTTGCCTGGAATTCCACTTGAAAGTATGAGACTTCAAATTATGAGAACAGAAAAACGCAGAGTATCATTTTGCTTTTCCAGATTTTTTTTCTCGTGTCAATGAAATTTTAATTTAATGTGTGCTCTGTCATCCAAAAAGGAACACTTCTTTTTCCTCTTAGATAACTGCCATGGTATGAATCTGACAGAAAATTGTATATAATATATGTTGAACTGAGAAAAACATAATAGCTTAACAGGAAACCACAACAAGAAAATAACCGCAGAAAAAGGCTGAGGTAGGGCAAAATCCTGAAAACAAGTTCAGGGAGTAGCCTTTAATCAAAGGAGATATCAGCTTCTTTCTTTTAATTTTTCGTTATGTTTATTAAGGACTCCAAGACGAATACCATGATTTATCATACTCACAAGTGAACTATAAAAGTAGGCGCTATGACGACACATGTTTCCAAGAGCACTGCAAGCTTTGGCACGCATATTGGGATCCTCGTGTGAAAGAAAATCTTTCAAGAACTCCAAAATAGAAGCACCTTTAATGTATTCATAGAATCCCTGAACACCAGAAAAGAGAAAGTAATAATGATTTTTCAAACTATAGTTAAGTAATATCCAAAATGTAAATACATGAGATTTAATTATGTCCAAGATAAGAACATAACTCAAGCCGTCCTACGCATTGGTGGCCAGAAACCATAAGTATAATCGTTCAAAGTAAAAGTATAATCAACTAAAATCGAAGTGACGTTTTGACATTGCCGAAACAAATACCTGTAAACAATGCCTTATAACACAAGGTTGGTCCGGCTTTTAGGCTCTATTAAAGTTCAAAGACTAAAATTTCAATAAATTCATAAAAACTAAATACATCCTTTGAGGATTAAATTGAGAATGGCAGCATCTGTGGTATACCAAACAACCAAAAAAAGTATTCCCCTTATTTTTTGTACACAAAAATACATGTAAACCAAAATGTGCATGGCATGCAATATCTCCACTTAACTTTCTTGCATGTGTATCCATCTCCCTTTGTCATGTAAACTGAATAGAAATAATATAGGCAATGACTGATCAACTTTGTTCTTTTCAATTTTGCATTCACAAAACAAAACCATTTGATGAAGAATGAAAGCTAACCTTGTCCATGCGAGCAAGATCAGAAATAATCATAAGAGAATCCAGTGTGACCTCTTTTGGGCGCGAACAGTCAAACAACCTTCTCATCATATTTGGATCCAAAAGACCCTTACTCACAAGTTGGATTGCTAAAGGTCGATGGGATACCATTTTTGCCAGAAAAGCAACTGGCCTGCCTAAATCATTCAAGTCCATATAATCTAGGCATCGAAGGATAATACCAGGCACGCCCACCTGAAAACTTCAAGCAATTTGTAACGATAACCTTGGAGCATTGAAGTTAATAAGATAACAATTCAACAGGTAGCCAAGAGAAAACGAAAATATAAATAATAAACTAATAGAACAGATACTAAAATAAAACCATCAAATGAATTGTCAGTACAGAAGCTAATAATTGATGAACCAGAGTACACCAGCAGTAACTTTTCAAACAAGAGTTACCCATCATCAGCCACTGCTCAATAAGGAAAATGAATTGGCATGGAGTGGCATCTCATTATCACATGACAGAATGATATTTGCTTGGAACTTTCCAATCTCCAAAAGGAAAACTAACAAAAGAGGGAATTGAAAGATGACTTTACCTCCACAAGGATCTTAATATATTTTCCCATGTCTTCCTCTATTGCCTTAACTATATCCTTATCTTCCATGCATATTCTCTGACCAGGGGAGCCAATATTAAGAAGAAACCCACTGCTGACAGAAGCAGTGGCAGATGGCAAGCCTGGTGCATTTTGCAGAGCAACAAAAGGAAATGCCAAGAGATCTATTACTGCATTAATTAGATCTCTGACTCCTGCTCTCCCTCCACCAGGTCCAATCCAGCATTTCACCAACTTGAGATGAACATCACATATCAAGTTGGAGATAAGGTTAATATGTTCATTCCTAATCAAAATTTGACGATAAGTCAAAGCACCACCAGAAAGACAATGACATAATGATGAAACTGTCCATACAACACCAATAGGAGATAATCCAACTCTATCATTTAGGCGTTCATTTCCATGAGAAGCATTTGAACCATCATTGCTTAATAAGCCCATAAGAAGAAGAGGAATACCACCTGCACACAACTGCTGAACTGCTAATGGTCCTCCCCACTTGAGTCTGGAATCTAAAAGACCAACACACCCATCTCTTACCCCTTGCCAATATGAGAGCTTCCCACTGAAGTTGCCAGGGTCCAATTCATTTTCATTCCCAGATGAAAATTTAAGATGGTCACTTAGTGCAGAAGTTCGAGGAATCAAAGGGACAGCAATTTCAGATATTGGGGACTCAACCAAAGCCCCAGATTCAAGGGATAGAATGGATGCCAAAGCCAACATGGCTGATGCACTTTGAGGATGGATAGAGGATTTTGTTTTATCATCATAAGAAATATGATGAGCGAGTACTGAAAGTCGAGCAAGCTGCTTCTTAGGTGAGGAAGTGAGCATAAAAATTGCTGAATTTCTTCCAGTTGACTTCAAACACTGAGCAATTATTGCAAGAATTAGACATGAATGACGAACCAGAGCAGAAGGATTTGTTAATTTGCACTTGACATTATTTGGCTCAACACCCTGTGTGTCTTTATTAACAGAGGAACTACATAATGATAAAACAGAGAAAATCTCTGAAACAATAGTTCCATCACCACCACCACTAACAACAGTAGTCACAGGAAGCGAACTGGGAAGACCACAAAGAAGAGCGGGAACAATTCCATTATTTAGGCAGCACCTTGACAAAAGCTGAAAAAGCAGAATATAACAATTTAAATTACATTTAACTATGTCATAGCTACAACCACAACCTTTGTCCAATAACAATTAAGTGCAACAATGGTAGAAAAATAACAAAGAATATTGGACCAATCTACTTCATTTATCCAATATAAAACATGCATAAAACTAGTTGTCATAAAGAAATCCCCAAAACAAGGGAAAGGGGTAAGCCACAAGTACCTGAAGACCACAACTCATTGCAGACTCCAGCCGTTGGTGAAAACAATAGTAAACAGCAACCTGAACAGCTTTAGATCTGAGGAATGCTCTTGTCATTCCATCAACAACTTTTGTTGCTTCTGTATCAACCAAGGGATCTTGCTCATGATCCATAATTTCCGTCCTATGTAAAGAATGACTCCTCAAAGCATTAATGGGAAACAAAATGGCACTTTTTTTCATAAAAAGAATATCCAATGCATTAATCAAAGACCAGACAGCTCTGCATGCTTCAGAAGCAGCCCGTAGCATATTGGAAGAACCTGAAATTAGACTCGATCCTGAAGTGGCTAAACACAAACACAAATGGTCCACTAAACCAGATGTTTTTGCATGGTCTAAAATTTTGTTAGCTGTTTCATTCAGTGTCTCTGGTCCGGAAATTTGAGTAGATGATCTAAGCACCTGAGCAACTCTAGACAGCATGACTGTAATGCAGGCACTAGATTCATACAGAACTCTTCCAGATGCATCATTAGTTGAAGTTACAACCTGCAAATATGCTTTAAAAACTAAGTGCTGCAAACATGTAAGAAATGCACAATTATCAAGAGCTTGTCCAAACTAATATCTAATGTAAGATAGGTATGGGTCGTAGGAAATGGATAAGAAAATCATGCTAGTTTAGATTTATTTAATAGCATTCAATATAAATTGGCAAAACAAGATGCAAATTCACATGTAGAAAGAGTATCACCTGAGAATAGATCTCAACAAATTCAACCCAGTGACTTAAATAAGAGCTTGAGGTGCAACTCCCACCATTATCTAGCAAAATTTTAGTGATGGAGAAACTCTGTACAAAATAAAACATCTGAAGATTCACTAGCTACTCTTGGGAGAAAAAGACTGCCAATTATTTTCACAAGCCATCCACCAAAAAAATAGACAAACAGTGATTTAAACAAAGAGCATCAAGTTTAATGCATGTACTATCAAAAATAAAATAAAATAAAATGCTTAATGCATGTACCGTTTATGCATGTTACAAATCAACATACTAAAAGAAGGAAAAAAACAACAAAAGCCTTTCCCATCAGGAAGGGTCGGCTACATGAATGAAACAATGCCAATGTCTTATCATAAATCATGTCGAATGCCAAACTATTTAAATCTAAATCCTTCTTAATGGTTTGGCCTATAGCTTTTCTTGGTCTTCCTCTAACTATTGCTCCCTGCTACATCTAATCTTACTTTCCTTACTAGGGCTTATGATAGTCTTTTCCACTCAAACCACGTAAGGCAAGATTCTACCTTTTATTCTTCACTTCATGCTACCCCAATTCAATCAATATTATGTGAATAAATTACAAAGCAAAAACATCTATTTATACAAATAATCACTGATTAGTCCAGGTAATATTGTTCTATTTCTAGTATAAGCCTAAGCCCATTAATACGATAAGAATACTAACTCTCATTAAATCAAATAAGGAAACAAATCAAGAAACATAAGAAATTAGAGATAACTCCTAAGTTTTCTTGTTCAACAATTACTAAGATTGCTTCCTAAATTAGATGAAAATTTAACTAAATGATTCCACAATATAATCCACAGATCTTCTAAGATATCTTCTAACATATATCAAACCAAAACGCAAGCATGTTTAATCAGTCAGAGGGGAAAAAAATACGGCAGCATATAATGCTGAAAGAATTACAAATAGATCACATGCCTTAGGGATGTACCTTTGCTATTAAGTCAGTAACTTCAGAGGATTTCATGGCTATAATTGATCCAGTAAACACAAGGAGTTCTCTTATTAGTTCATCTATGCGTCCACTAGAATTAAAGGCACCAGCCGCAACTAGGTTTGAGAGAATCCTCAAAGACTGGTTTGAATCAGGAACATCTTGATCACTGTAAATTGCTAACAAGCAGTTATAGACTTCACAGGTAATTAATTAAAAAATAATAATTTACTTAGTTCTTGAAACACAACAAATTTTTCATTTATTTTTTTATTGAAATACTAAGTTTAAAATTTTAAATGACTATATAAATATAAACACATACTCATTAATTCAATTGGTTTATTTTAATTTAATTTAGAGGAAAAATAAAGTAAAGGCCAACACCACATGAGGCAACCTCCTATTTTGAGAAAAACAATTACACAACAGGAAGAGATCAAACAAGTAAACACTACTCTTGTGTTGGCATTACAATGTGGAAAATAAAAAGACAGTGACGTAGTCATAAACGATGCAAATTTGAAACGATTTATGTGAGGCAGCAGTGCTCCGCAAGTGAATCATGCTAACGTAAGCACTTCTGCATCATGTACTAGTTTATTCTAGTTTCAACAAAGTAAAATAAAACTTTCAGCAATTAGTTTCAAGAAAACCACATCAAATAGTTCATACAATGATTGCCAAAGAGTCACTCTGCTCTAGAAAAGCTGGCTATTTATTTAAATTAGAGGGAGAGATAAAGCAAAATGCAGATTTGTGATTAAATTTAAAACTTGCAGAACACTAATGTTAACCAGAAATGCAAGAAATCAAGTTCTAGACTAGAATGATAACAGATCCATGACATTTCTACATTCCAAGTCAAAAGAATGTTCCACATATGACAATGAACACCATATAAAAAGCAGAAAAAAAAAAGTGAACTCCAGACCTTAAAACCAATTCAATAATTAATGATATTCATGAGGATTCCATATGAATAATAAGTTTCACGTATGCAATTAATATCTACCTGCAAATATTTTGAGATCCTTTAGACCATTTTTTCAGTGGTAGCAGAATATGTCCCAATGCTTCATTGTCTTGACCAATTATTTTGGCACCTTTGACTGTGCGAGAGTTATTTTCAAGTCGGTCCAATCTTTGGCAGCCTACTGAGAAGTATTTGTATTTGCATCAAGCCATCAATGAAATATTACAGTTGTTCTTGTAAATAAAGAATAATAATGGAGACATTTGACAATTCATTTCAGAAAGCTAACAGAACAAAATTGTAATCCAAGTCCGTACGTAATAACAAGTACCTAAAATCCCTAAATGAGTGCATACAAAACTAATTATACATCCATTGCTCATAGATGTCAGTAATAAAATGTGGGAAATTTTCCAGGAGGCTATAGCTTATATTTAGTTGGAATTCACTTTGATGTTTGAACAGCAAAAGCTTTCTCATAGCAACTTGGTCTCTTTATTAGAAAGAATGAGGAAGAAATTCCCAATTTACAGAATAGAACACATGCACTGCAGAACTTTAGGATCTGCACCTCCCAATGACAAGATGCCCCTCCCTCTGCACCTCTGTTTCCTTTTTATAGGCAACATGCCCTACTTTTCTAATTATCCCAGCCCCCGGCCACCTACCTAATTTTTCCACTAACTAACTACGCGTTACCTAATAATACTTCCCTCCTAAACATTCACCTTGTCCTCAAGGTGAACAGCTTGTGGCATCTGAAATAAAGCCTACTCCAGGGCCCCACTGTTTGAAGCACGATGACTGAGATAATCCTCAAACCCTCTTGGGTCAAACACAAACAACCATGTGCCTCCAATCTCTTCCAATGCTCTGCTTTCTGTTGAATTTTCAGCCATAAAACTGAGCACCATTGCATCTGCAAGTGACCTGTCCTTGTTGCCTGCTCTACATGAACCATGCTTTTGCCTTGGAGTTGCTGGACAGCAACCCTTGCAATCTCACCTTTGTCATTGCCTATGAGGCACAGACTTCAACACAGACACCAGACATATCCAAAATATAAGACACCGGGATATATATATATATATATATATATATATATATGATTAACACAACAAAAATCTAAATTGAAAATTAAGATTTGTTCATTCATCTTCTCAAGACAAAGTTCTTAGACTTTACAATTTTTATATGATACCCTAACAAAAAATACTAAAAGCCATCAAGCTTCATATGACAGAGAACAAAGATGAAAGTTGACCGGAGAACAAGTAGGGAATAGAGAATGGTGAATGGCGAACAGAGGAAACACAACACTGCGATGAAGAAACAAAAATATGTAGAGGACTGAAAGAAGGAAGGTAAGTAGGGAACTTTAGTATAGATGAAACATTTTTTAACCTTTAAGTTTTAACAATTTTTTTTAAATGTTATTTCTGGTGTCGGAGCTGGGTCAGAACCATGTCCTGCCATGTCAATATCAAATCTTACTTTGAGTGGCAAACGATGTGTATTGCCTCTAGGTACAGAGAATATTATGCTGAAATCTAGGCTAAATTATAGGGATTTCTAGACTATTATTAGGTGATTCTAATCTATACTGCTAATGGCTGATTCTATCCTATTTATGGTAATACAATAGAATAATAACAGATGTACACATTAATACAAAAGAATAATAACGGTTGTACATAAATATAAACTATATAAGGCAACATCCCCCCTCAAGTTGATGCTGGTTTATCGAGAAGCATCAATTTGCCCACAAGAAACTGATGGCATTGTCAAGTATGAGACTTGGTGAACAAATCAGCAACTTGCAAAGTGGTTGGAACATGTGGGAGAGAAATGAGATGTGTAGCAACAGCTTCTCGGATGTAATAATAGTCCACTTCAATATGTTTCGTATGCTCATGATAGACTGGGTTAGTAACAATTTGAATTGCACTTGTGTTAATTGCATGAAAAGATGTGGGGTTAGATTGTGAAAAGTCAAGTTCAGCCAACAATCCCCGAAGCCAAGTGATTCCAAAACATGCAGCAAACATGGCAAGATATTCAGACTCAGTGGAGGATTTGGAGACACAATCTTGCTACTTACTTTTCCATGATAACAGGGAATCTCCAAGAAACATGCACCAACAAGTGACAAATCTACGAGTATTAGGACAGGCCGCCCAATCTGCAACACTATATGCAGCGAGTTGGATAGAAGAACTAGCAGAAAAAAATAAACCACGAGAAGCAGTACCCTTGAGGTATCTAATGATGCAGCAGACAGCAGCCATGTGAAGATGTCGAGGAGAGTGCATAAATTGACTAACCTACTGGACAGCAAAAGAGAGATCAGGCCGTGTAATGGTTAAATTGTTGAGACTTCCTACCAATTGTCGATACAACAAAGGGTCGAAAAGTTGCTCGCCCTCATCAACATGATACTTGACATTCACCTCAAGAGGAGTATCAACAGAGGAAGATTCTTGAAGACCAGATAATTGAATTAATTCCTCAGTGTACTTATGTTGATGTAAGAAAATTCCTGAAGGGTCCCTATGTACCTCCAATCCCAAAAAACAAGGTTATCAAGATCTTTTATGTGAAAAAACTCCTAAAGATGCTGTTGTAACTAGGCAATTAATAAAGAATCAGTCCCTATGATATCAATATCATCCACATATACCAAAAGAATGACAATTCCAACAGCAGTTGTTCGAAGAAACAAAAAGGAGCCATATTGGCTTTGAAGAAGATTAAATTGAAACAAAGTGGAGCAAAATTTGTCAAACCATGCACGAGGAGCCTGTTTGAGACCATATAAGGAGCGATTCAACTTACAAACTTCTTTGGTAGAAGAGGAAAACAAACCAAGAGGAGGCTTCATGTAGATTTCCTCTTTGAGATCACCATGTAAGAAAGCATTCTTGACATCAAATTGTTGAAGGGACCAGCCTTGTTAGACAGCAATAGAAAGAATTGTTCGAACTGTAGTCATTTTGGCTACAGGAGCATATGTCTCCTCATAGTCAATCCCATATTCTTGTCTGTATCCTAAGGCAACTAAGCAAGCCTTGTAACAATCCAAAGACCCATCAAAGTGAAGCTTAATTAAGTAAACCCACTTACAGCCAATAGCTTTGACATGACTCAAACATTGAACAATGTCTCATGTCTAATTATCTTGAAATGCCTGAAGCTCCTTCTGCATTACTCTGCCAACACTCATGTTTGACTGCCTATGAATAACAAGAGGGAACAAAAATATTAGATAATATAGCAGCACAAGAAGTATATCGGGCAGGAGGGCGAGAAACTCAAGTAGACCGTCGTGGTACAACAGGAGCAAGATTAGTGGGAGTGGCTATAGTTGAACATCATTGATACACAAAGCCAGGCTTGAAGGGTCGGGCAAGCATTGAGGAATCATCAAATTGTGGAAAAAATACTAATTCTCAAAGAAAATAACATTGCAAGAAATCCAAATTCTTGTAGACACAGGATCAAAACAAACAAATCCTTTGTGATTAGTGTTGTACCCCATAAATGCACACCTAATAGATTGAGCAAACAGCTTGTGGCGTTCATGAGAAGGCAAGTGAACAAAACACATAGCCAAAGGGATGGAGATGCTTGTATTCAGGATATTGACCATAAAGACGAAAATAAGGTGAGTCAAAATTTAAAACCTGAGAAGGAAGTCGATTAATCAAGTAAACTGCAGTAGAGAGAGCTTCTACCCCAAATGTAGGTGGCACAGATGATTAGTAATAAGGTGCAAACCACATCCAAGAGATGCCAATTTTTTCGTTCAGCAAGACCATTTTGTTGATGCATATATGGACAAGAACACTGTGAGAGAATGTATTTTTTATTATAAAAAACATGAAATTCATTAGACATATATTTGCCACCAGAATCTGATAGGAGAACCTTAATAGTTGCAACAAATTGAGTTTCAACATAAGCAAGAAATGTTTTAAACACTTGAAGCACTTTAGATTTGGATTGAAGAAAATAAATCCATCTAAATCTACTATAGTCATCAAGGAACGTCACAAAGTATTTATATTGTGCATAAGAAATAACAGGAGAGATCTCCCAAACATCACTATCAATGACCTCAAAACAACTTGTTGCACGACTACCCGAAGTTGGAAAAGGAAAAATTTTACTCTTTTCCAATTTACAAGTGAAACAGTCAAAATAAGGATGAAACAAAGAAGTCTAATCAGATTGTCCTAATAAACCAAAGGTGAACAAGTGGAACAAAATAGTTGGATTAGAATGCCCAAGCGTCTATGCCACACTTCACCTTTATTTGTAACTGAAGAAGACAAAGCAACATGATCCTACACAGAACAACCATCACGAGAAAAATGGACATCATAGTGATTGTCTACCAAGTGAGAGTCCAGGTAAAACAAGAATGTTGTTGAAAGTAGGGGTAATATCTCCAACAGCAGAAATTGGAATAATATTACCATTAGCAACTTGAATATGGTCAAAACGATGATATGGATGACCATTTTTAAGAAAATTGTTGGAACTGGTCATATGATTGGATGCAGTAGAATCAAGAAGCCAAGACTTA